TGTGCAGGCAAGTGACAAGACAATCTTGTATTCCGTGGCTTCTGCGCTGGTGAACTGTACCAACAGCTACGACACCAAGGAGCTGGTCCCAGAGCTAGTGCAGCTGGCAAAATTCTCCAAGCAGCACGTGCCTGAGGAGCATCCAAAGGTGGGTTGTGTCCAGCTGGAGATGCTGTTCAGAAAGACATTCTTGGGTGCATCCATTGTCACAGACTTCAGGTCTCTAGTCTGCAGACTGAAATTGCTCTGCTCTCCAACCAGGCTGTGGCTGGATGGCAGAATGGCAGCTGCTAAGGGCTAATCCTTTCCCAATGTTTCCTCCTCAGGACAAGAAGGATTTTGTGGTGAAGCGGGTGAAGCGGTTGCTGAAGGCTGGGGTTGTCTCTGCCTTGGCCTGCATGGTGAAGGCTGACAGTGCCATTTTGACAGACCAGAGCAAGGAGCTCATTGCCAGGTGCCTTCACTGTAGTCCTGGGAGCTGGGAGTGCTGGGCAGCCCCTGTGCAGTGGGGATGGACACCTGGGGTGGGGCATTCTGCCTGTGGGCGAGTGTGTGAAGCAAAGATTTAAAACCAAAGGTTTGTTCAGCAGCATCATAAAAATCCATGTTCTGACCTTCAAGCTGCCTTGCTGGAATGCATTTTTGAGTTCTCTGTATTGGTTCTGGCTAGAATAGAGTTCATTTTACAGACCTGGAAACTTCTTACTCTGCCATTTGCTGCTTCCTCATAGAGTGCTGTGCACACAGGGTTAAGCACCTGGAATTTACCGGGTGGCTCTGGCACTCCTGCACAACCTCAACCCCTGTTCCATGAGGGCTGTTGGCTGCTGTTGTCCTGCCTGGCTGTTTCACTGAGTGTTCTGTGCCCCTGCAGGGTGTTTCTTGCCTTGTGTGAAGACCCCAAGGACCGAGGGACCATTGTGGCTCAAGGTGGTGGGAAGGTGATTACTTTTATGTTCAGAGTTGTTGCTGTGCTGTTAATGTCTGCTGGGAGCCTGGGGTGTATCTCTGGGGAGGGACAGTGACAGAAGAGCACAAGCTGACCCCCCCCAGGCCACACTGACACTGCAGTCCCATGTCTGCAAGGCTCCAAAGAAGTAATGTCCTTGACTGTGTGAGCTACAAGCTCTGGTGTGGTGCCTATTCAGGAACAAAACCAAGACATCACAGAGAGCTATGAGCTCTATTTTTAACTTGTTTTAGTCTGTTAAGGCAATCCTGTAAATGTTTTCAGAACACTGAATGCTTTTTCCTGTGTGTGTGTCCAGGCCCTGATACCTCTGGCTGTGGAAGGCACAGACATTGGCAAGATAAAGGCTTCTCATGCTCTGGCAAAAATTGCTGCTATCTCCAATCCAGACATTGCATTCCCAGGGGAGAGGGTAAGCTTAAAAAAAACAAAAAAACAAAAAATAACCAAAACAATTGATACTTTCTTGCTAATCTGGCCTTCTCTTCCAGGTGTACGAGGTGGTGAGGCCCCTTGTCAGCCTGCTGAACACAGAGAGAGATGGCCTCCAGAACTATGAGGCTCTGTTGGGTCTCACAAACTTTTCAGGGAGAAGTGATAAACTCAGGTGAGCTTTACTGCTTTTCAACCTTCCTTCTTCCCCAGGAGTGAATGTGAGTTACTTGTTGGACTACGAAGACTGGTCAGTTTGAGCTGTCTTTGACAGAGCTACAAAGGTCTCAGAGCTAAAAGATTAATGAAATATGAATAAAAGAGTGGCATATTTTCCTCTAGAAACAGCAAAGACATGAAGGACTTCATCTGCATTAGACAGGGAATGAGCCATGTCATGAGTTCCAGAGCTGCAGACACTGATTTGTTTCAAGGCCTTCCCTGCAGTTAATATTTGATAAGTTGGTTCCTGCTTGACCTCCAATGTGGGGTTTTTACTGCTCTTTGACACAGGTTGAAGATAGTCAAAGAGAAGGCCCTGCCAGATATCGAAAACTACATGTTTGAGAACCACGACCAACTTCGACAGGCAGCCACAGAGTGCATGTGCAACTTGGTGGTCAACAAGGAGGTAAGCCCTGGGCACGTCCAAGCTGACTGTGTGCACCTGCCCCTGTGAGGAGCAGTCCCTAACTGTGTTACCTCTGGGCATCTCTGGGGTTTTTTTAGGTTCAGGAGCGGTTTGTGGCTGATGGCAATGACCGGCTGAAGTTGGTGGTGTTGCTGTGTGGTGAGGATGATGAGAAGGTTCAGGTTGCAGCAGCAGGAGCCCTGGCCATGCTTACGGCAGCGCAAAAGAAACTCTGCTCGAAGATGACTCAAGTGGTAAGACCATCACTCTGATTGTGGGCAGTGTGGATGAACCCTGCAAGGGTCCTGGCTTAGACATGAAAAAGTCTCTCCAAAGGAATATGCAATTTACTAGTTCAGTGTAGAGGAACCTAGAGAAGCTGGGACCTTAGTGTGCATGCTTTTAGTCCATTTTAATAAATAACCTGAAATCCAAACCTTGTTACACCCAGAAATGAGAAGAGCTTGCTCGATAACCTACTGAGCTTTAGAGATCCCAAGGGATGTCCCTTCCCTGCACAGATCTGTAGACCCTGAGAACCCAGATCCATGGCTGAGTGTCTGAAGAGCTGTTGTTGAGAGCTCCTGAACCCTATTTTGTTGCACACGATTGGATACTGAAGCTTGTTAAGATAAAAATGATTAATCATGTCAAAAGAGAAGCTCAGAATATTGGGGTGGGGGAGTGTCCTGGTCATCTCAGCTGTCTCAAGATTCTGGTCAAATTCTTTTTAGAGAGATTATGCAGCAGCCTGAATATGAAACATGTTCCATGTTGTCCGAGTGCCGCGAAAGATTCTGACTTAAGCGTAAGAAAAATTAGGTTCAAACGTTTGGAGTCAGGTTTCCTTAGTTAAAAAATGAAATAACCCTAAGTGATATAAGTACTGCTCTTCCTACTGCTGAAGGAAGCAGAAGTCATGCTCTAGGTTGAGGTATTCTTCAATCAGTACTAATGATCTCTCTTTCCCTTCCAGACCACCCAGTGGCTTGAAATCCTGCAGAGGCTCTGCTTGCATGACAACATGGAGGTCCAGCACCGAGGACTGGTCATTGCTTTCAACCTAATCAGCGCTGACAAAGAGCTGGCAAAGAAGCTGGTGGAATCAGAGCTCCTGGAGATCCTGACCTACGTCGGGAAGCAGGAGGATCACCCCAAGAAGCAGCACATCATTAGTGTGGCACGGGATTGCCTCACCAAGTGCATGGATTATGAGCTGATCAAACCTCTCTCTCAGGCGTGAGGGAATGAAAAGCACCAAAAAAGGCTGAGTGTGGGGGGAAGAAATGGAGAAATATGGAAAAGTGAGAGCCGCGAGGAGAAATCTAGTGCCATTTTCAAGGCACTGAGTAGTTTGGGGGCAGCTTTGGAGGATCATAAGCTGTATGAGGAAAAGGAGGGAATTTGCTTGGGAAATTTGGGAAGTGTCCATCTGAGTAATTCCCAGATGGTGTAAATCCTTTCTCTGCCCCCATTCAGCTGAAAATGACGAAAGCTTCAAGGCCCAGCTGTAAAAGGGTTGGTTTTGTTGGAGATGTGTCAGGAGGCTGTTGGAAGGAAGCTGAACAAAGCTGAAATCGCTTCTGCATCCATCTCCAGCTCCTGGTACTTCTGGAATTGCCAGCAATGGTGGAACAGGGAGGGTTAAGTGCCTTCTATCCTGTAGTCAGAAAATAGGATTTTAGCTGTGTGCTTTTTTCTTCATATATCAGAAATTGTGTGGTAAAGTGTGAGGATGGTGGATGAACTCTTAATAAATTCACTACTTTGTTCCATGTGGAATTCCTGTTCTGATTTTATTAAGCAAAAGGAAAATTTAAGGGGAGTCTCACTTGCAGTCTTGCATCACACCTGGAAAAATGGAGTAATTGGTAGCACAGGCTGAATTTTCACTCCTTACAAAGCATCCAGTGCTCCCAAATGCGGCAGTCACCACAAAGATGTCACACCAAGGCACAGGGAATGTTGAAAATATCCTATTTATGAAAAAAAGAAACCAGAATGAGAAGCAACCCACCAGTGGGCCATCATGTTAAACTTCATTACATCAATATTTTCATTCAAGCACAGATTTTTAATGCAGGCTTTGGACAACACAAAAATCACAGACTTCCTTTAGTTCTTGTGGGAAAGTCCCTAAGCATGTAATAAATATAATTTTACTAAATAATAATTTAAATATTAATTCAAACACATTAAAATATTGCTGATCATATTAAATATTAGTAACATTCACAATAGGCATAGCATGATGAAATGTTGAGGTTTGGGGTTATGAAAGGAATTATGAGGATAGTCTTTTCTTGCATGTTAAGGGGAAAAAAAACACTGAAAAATGCCTCTAGTGCCCTGAATTTGAAAAAGATTAAAAATTTTAACCTAATAGGTTTGGTAATCTAAAGGCAATTTTATTTGGCTGGTGATTCCAGCTGTATTCAATGAATGTAAGCACATTCAGTTAAATAGCTGGTGCTTTATAATCACAGCAGGATAAAATATCAGGCTGTTCTTCTAAACTGAGAGCCACATTCCGTGCTGGGAAATATGGTTTGTTTTCTACCAGCCTTCAATTTTTGATAACCATTTTTAGGGATTTTGAATCTGGCTTTCGAAAGTACTTTACATTAACTCTCTACAGGTTTACCTAGCCAGCATCTCTGACATCAAGACAAAATGCCATTGGTACTGAAGGGCACTTTCTCCCACTAAAGCTTCTCTTTAGAGCAGCTGGGTTCTACTGACTGTTGCTGAAGCTGAGAGGGGAAATAACTTCTGTAAAAGACATTTATGGGCATTTCTTTTAGCTAGACGTGGGCAGAACACCCATTTTACACTAACAGGGACCATCCTCTCCCTCAGCGCCCCTCAGGCTTCCTCAGGGCGGGAAACGCTCGCACCGCCCGCAGTTCCTCTAACGCGCCTTCCTATTGGCTTCTGCCGGCCCCACCGGCAGAGCCGCGCGCTGTGATTGGTTGTTACCAGCGGATGGGTGGAGCGAAGCGGGCGGCTCCGCCCCGGCATGGCCGGGCCTGCGGGAGCGGAGCGGCGTGAGGGGTACGGGACATGGGGCACCGGGGCTGGGCAGCGGGGTCCAGGGGATGCGGGACCGCGGTGGAGCAGCGGAGGGCTCGGAGTGTGAGGGGACGCGGAGGGGGCTGGATGAGGAGGGTGAACCCGGCCGAGGTGTAGGGCATATGGTGTTTACTGAGATGCGGGGAGGATATCTGTGAGCTCGGGGGATGTGAGGCTGGGGTAGGGCAGCTACGGGCAGAGGAACCGGGGACTGAGGAGCTGCAGAGACCTGATGGGGAGGATACAGGGAAGGAGGTGGGAAAAGAGGACAGATTTGTGGCATGACGGGAGGGATCCAAACAGGCCTCTGGAGCCTTCGGGAGACACTGACTGCAGCAGCATTTATAGGTGTGACACGCTTTTTTCCTCTGGGGTTTGCCTATTCCTGGCTCTCCTGACCTTGGAATGCCAGTTTGTGAGCTCTGTTCCGCAGCTTCTGCTCGGCTGTAGAAGGGATGTCACCTGTGCCCCTGTGCTGCCCTGCTCCACGTGCTTCATCCTCCCAGGGAGGAGGAAACCTCCCAGCCCCTGGCTTGGGAGCAGGCTCCTTACTGAAGGCAAATAGGTTTGCCCAGAAGCAATGATGAGCGAAGTATAGTCTGAACTGGTATTGCAGAGACTCCGTGTCTCTGCTCTGACCAGGGCATGATCACCTAATCTTCTCTCTGAGCTACTCTAGGCTAAGCTCGTCTCTAGGGAACAGCTTTGCTGTTTTTGAAACTTGGATGCACCCTAAAAAAAAAATACTAAGATTTTTTAGCAATTTATTTTAATGGCAGATAAACAATTATTGATTTGAAAAGTAACCCAAATACTTGCTGCAGCTTTACTGTGAGTTTGCAGTCCTGGGGGATTTGGGTTTTCTCCTGCGTGCTCCATGGATCACCAAACTCCAGATACTCTGCCACTGTGTCTCCTGTGTAAGTGCATTTCAGACTCTGAGCTGTCTGTCCTGTAGAAGCTCATTAGCAGTTTATTCAGCTGTATTCTCATTTAGTGATTGCCAGCAGGGAGCCAGGAGTTTTTCTTAAATATTTTTAATGAAGTGCAACCCCTTTGGGGTTGAGGGAAGGGCCCAAGAAAAGAGATGGGGCTATTCTCTCATTCAGTTTTTTTGTTCTTTTTCAGGTCCTGATGACATCTTTATATTGATTTCTCTCTTCCTGTGGAGAAGGAAGCATCTATGGGGAATATATACCTAGGAATATGTTAGAGTGGTTTTCCCTTAACAGGAGAAGCCACTTTGTTTCTGTTAAGGAAGTAGCAAAACCTCATTTGCTTCATGCTCTAATTTTTGAAGACTGCCTAGATGAGCTGTGAATGTACCTTAGGTTCACTAAAGAATTTTTGAAAGACTTGCAAAGTCCTGGTAGCAGGATACTGAACAACTCCAATGCTGCTGTTAATGTTGATGAAATTGTACTGAGCAACACCAAAGCATCCCGAGGGCATGTGATGTACATGACTCTATAGAAATCATAAATTAGTATGTAAGTCCAAAGGTTGGTTTAATAAAGTTGGTGCTCCCTGAAAAATTTTTCCTGTCTATCTTTACCCCATCGTGGTTTTAAGAACATGGCTAAAAAGCAGATAAATGGGAATTTTTCTGTAACCCAAGCTGGGTTTGTAGTTTGTTTTAGAGCAAGAAACTTCACAAATGAGCATTTATTTGACTGCTAAGGACAGGAGGTTTCAAAGGAGTCAGATCCAAGTTGGCATCCTGCAGCCATCCCCAGGAAGACACAAAATGTGCCAGGTAATTGCTGAGCCTGTCGCTGTGCTGGGTTTGGTGCTTGTTACTCAGCTAAGCTTTAAAGGGCAGTTTATTGTGTAAAAGTCATTACAGCTGCTCAGAACTGGGAGGCTTTGATGTGGGTGGTTCTCTGCAGGTCTTGGAGCTGGCCAAATCCAAGTTTGGCAGGGACAGGGTGTTGTGCAGGAGTGGAAAGCAGCCAGGGCCTGGCAGGCAGACATCTGGTGGGCATTTTGGGGAGAAAAGAGGGATTAATCCTGGAAGAAGGAGCTGTAGAGGCCCTGGAGCAGTGTGGGATAAGGTAATTTGTGTGTTAGTGAATTCTGCACTGAGGGATGAACCTCCCCAAGAGCTCTGCAGTGCTGGGGGTGCGTGTCCCATGCCTGCCCAGCTTCTCCCTGAGCAGCAGACAAATAGAATAGGAAGGATAACAGGAAAATAAACTTATCCTGAGAAGGAATCATCAGTCAAATGCTTATTTATGAGTTGGTGCACCAGAGTCACCAGGACGTTAACAAAAAGTAAAAATTGTTTAGAACCTCAGAAAATCTCGCACCTCAATGTGATCTGTGTGTTCTTACTGGCTCTCTGAAGGAAGAGAAGTATCTTCACGGATCTCATAGCTACTGGAGAAGACAGAAATGAGACAGTTTCTATTATTATTCCATAGTGGCAAAGTAGAAGGGTCAGGGATACAAAGATAATAAAGCATCAGGAACAAATCTCATTTATTAGGTGTTTTGGGGAGATTCATATTACTGCATTTCCCCACATTATTCAATAACCTTGCTCTCCTGCTTACAGGAGAAGGAGGATATTGGAGATTCTTATCTTCTGAAACAGAGCTAAAGTGGAGGGAAAATGAGACAGACACCTGGTTCAGTGGATTAAACGTTAGAAGATGTCTCTTAATCTGGAAAGAGCAGAGTGGGGTCCTGTACTTTGTGCAGCAAACTTTGTTCTTGTGTTCTCCGAGCACTGTCACCGTGATATCTGGAGCACTGCTGCTCCCTAGAGTCAGAAAAACAACCTTCCATCCTGAAAAATCAGGTGTCAAACAAGAGCAAACCACGTCACACAGGTTTTCTTTCCTCCTGTGTTCAGTGGAAGGATGTTTTGTTCTGATATGAATGTTCTACGTGGCTGGGGCTGGAATAATTGCAATGTAATGCTTGGACATTAAAGATCTTCAGCCTACAAAGTGCTAATCTTGCATGTGGAAAGGTGAAAGCAGCTTTAGTCTTGTCTCTCATGTAATTAGAACCCCCAGAGGAGGAAAATGTTTTTCCAATAACCAGAAAAGAATTAAATTAGGTTCTCCATCAGAATTTTGCTTTATAAAAGCAGATAATAATGAATGCAAAGACTTATTTAACAATAAACCACTCTCATCAGCTGGCAGTTTTTTAATCTGTTTTGTCATTTTCTCTCTTGTGCAGAAAATGTCACATTCCTCTTGTCCATGATTGACTTTAAAGAGTCAAAAGTCTTAATTTAGAACCGTTGATGGGAATTAGGAGGGTGATGTTCTTAATTCTGAGGTGAAGAGCCTGAAAATGCAGAAGACTGAAGAGCAGAGGTTTAAGCCCATCTCCACTCTTGACAAAGCCAGAGCTCACCCTGAGCAGCACGAGGACCTGGGAAGATGCCCAGGGAGGAAAAACCTGCCTGGAGAATTTCCCTACCTCTTTAATTTGCTGGCTCATGCCCTCAAGCAGGACCAGTGCTTGTCTTTGATCCTCACATCTGCATTCCTCTTATCCAAATCAATGTTTCCTCCCTTTCAGCTGGTCTTTTAAGGCATTTCTGTACTGGCTGACAGGCTGGGGCTGTGTGATCCCTCTGCAACTGCCAGGATGTTTGAACAGCTTATCAACAAAGGGCAGAGCCTTGCCAGAATGTGCAAAGGCAGCAAAGCTGATGAACCACTGAGTTCAAAGGCGCTGTGGAGCTCACCGATGAGCACGGCGGTCTGAAGCCTTCCATGGGACGTAGAAAGAAGTGCTGGATGCTCCTGGGAGCCTTTCAGCTCTCAGGGGAGTAGAGTTTGACCAGGTGCTGCAGCTCTGTGGCATAGCCTGTGACCGGGCAGCGCTGGTGAGCCTTCACGTAGCCGTAGGCGCAGCGGTAGCAGAACACGAAGCCGGACGTGGCCAGGGCCGTGGCGTTCACGCGGACCTTGCGGCACAGAGGGCACACGGTCTTCAGGCTGGGCAGGAGAGCTGAGCTGGGCTCGTGCTCCAGGTGCACAGGGGGTGGGGGCGTGGGGAGCGCTGTCAGGGACTTGATGGTCTCCTGGTTTTCCGAGGAGTACCACCAGTCCAGGAACTGGAGGAAGAACACGCTGACGGACAGGCCGGTGGACAAGGAGAAGGCAATGCCACCCAGGGCTCTCCTCAGGGCTGACTGCACTCGTGAGGTAAAGCTGGAGCAGAGACAAGCAGGGAGAGATGGTTACTACTGCGTATTTACCCACCTAGAAACCGTGGGGAAAAGCCCTCAGGGAGTGACTGCTTCACACAGCTCCTACATGCTAAGTTAGCTGGTGAGCATGCCCCATGTTTGCACTTATTAGGATGTTTCAGATTCTTTTTTTATTTTAAGGAAGATCTAAATCCTGCTTTTTTCAGAAGTCTTAATCAGAAGAATTTGGATTAGAGGATCCTGGACCACAGAGTGTTTCACTCCTGGATCACCATTTCACAGGGTATTCAGTGTGGCCATGACTAACTGCTGCTTAGGAAAATCAAATAAATCTGTTTCAATCCTTTCAGAAATGTTGCTGCAACTGCTGCCTCTCCTTTGCTGGAAAAGTGAAGGGTAAAGGCTTGATGAACAGGAAAAAGGCCTGTATGCCCAAAAACACCCCCAAACTCTGAAATTTTATTACCACATAATCATTTCAAGCTAATCCCTGCTACTGGTTTCCTTATTTTCACTCACAATGCACCCTTTGGGAGCACATATTCTCAGAGTGAACTTTCATCTTGAATTTTTGGGGAACAAGGCACTTTTACTTGCAGAATCATCTCTAAATTTACACACCCACAGAACCCCCTGGAGAGCAACAGCTAAGCCAGGTTCTGCCATACCTGTGTGTTTCACTTGAGGTGGTTTCAGCCCATTTCTTCTGCAGGGCCTGGATATCCTCTGCAGTCAGTCTGACCAGGCGGACACCAGCCAGCTTCAGCATGGGGGAATGATGCTCAGCCTTGCCCAGGATGTAGCCCAGTTGCTGGATAAGAAACCAGCCCTCCCAGGTCATGTTTACGTAGGGGTAGGCAGCTAGAAAGGCTCTGTAGAAGCGCTTCCAGGATGATGAGGGAGGGTGGATGGAGTACTCATCCTCTTCCCTCAGGCTGGACACCAGCTTCTCCAGCTTTCCCTTCAGGTAAGGAACCAGAACCAGCAGGAGCAGAGACTTCCAGTGCTGCCTCTTTGGCAGGCCAAGTGTGGCCAGAGATTGCTGTTTGCCATCTCCCATGGGGATCCTCTTCAAGCTATAGAAGTTCTCAGAGAAGGATGCGCTGCACCTGGCCAGGTAGTGCTGCTGGAGCAGCAGATCCAGAAGGACGTAGATCTCATCAAACCAGTGCCAGACGAAACCATATCGGGCAGGATTAGACTCAGCAAGCACCTGTTGCGAAAGGGACATGAAACGGGAGGAATCAGAGTGGTTTGGGTTGGAAAGAGCATAAAAGATCATCTGGATCCAGTCCCTGCCATGAGCAGGGACACCTTTTATTATGCCAGGCTGCTCCAAGCCCCATCCAGCCTGGATTTTAACACTCTCAGGGATGGGGCTTCTCTTGGTAACCTGTGCCAGGGCCTCCTCACCCTCACAGGGAAGGACCTGAAAGCGGAGTAAAGAACTAAATTATAAATTACAGCAGCTATAAACGACACCTCTAATCCTCAACGCAAGCCAGGAGGCTCACAACTGTCTCGCTGCCTGGGAGTGCGGCCGGAGTTACAGGCCAGCCGCCTCTCCTCTCCCTTCACCCGCGGCCCGCTTCGCCCTCACCTTGACCAGGTGCTGCAGGGCGGGTTTCACGGCGGCCATCAAGCTGTCCTGGGCCACGGCCTCGAACACGGACGGCCGGTCCCCGCCGGCCGGGGTGGCCGTGAGGTGCGCGCCCACCTCCGCCATGACACCGNCTGGGAGTGGCTCTGGTGGTGTACTGGAAGAGGATGGGGAGCCACTGGGAGGATTGGGCAGGTGGTTGCAGAGAAGCTGGAGGGGCAAGAGTGAGGAGTGGGGTCAGTGGGCCCTGGGGTGAGGTGGGGCTGCTGGGGATGGGGCTTGGTGGGATGGGAATGAGCACAGTAAGCTACCGGGATCCTGGTGGGAGCAGGCAGGGATAAGGACTGGATGCTGGTAGAGGGACTGGTGGGCACTGCTGGGACTGGGAGTGCTGGGGAGGGGAGCTGGGATTTGTGGGGAGCGCTCCTGTGACTGGGGGTACTGGGAGAGATCTGGGGAATGGTGCTGAGGGGGAAGGGCTGGTGGGCAGGGGGCTTGGGGGGACATGCTGGGATGCCAGTCTGGGATGTAGGTGGGTGCTGGGAGTCCTGCTGGAGATGTGGGAGGGGCTGGCAGCAAAGCTGGGATGGGGCTTCCACAGAGTGGGGAGGTGATAGAAGGAGCAGGTGGAATGGGGACCACCAAGGGGGTGTTTGGTCCCCAGGATGGAAACAAAATCCCTGTGCCAGCCCGAGTTTGGGGCTGCAGGCACAGCTCTCCCTCTGCCATCCACATTCCACTGTTGTGTTTATCTTCCTGATTCTCCAGTGGCCGTGGGCCACACCTGGGTTGTCATGCAGCTCCTTGAAAGGCTTTCCAGGAAGAATGGATGGCACCACTTACACTGGCGTTAAACCAGGGATCACTTGAGAGATTTAGGGATTGATGGTTTCAATGTCCAGGAGCTTAGGTCAATCCCAAGGCCCTTAAACCTGCCACCCTCCTGTGTGGGGTCAGTGCTGGGGACCGGGTCAGGTTGACTGGAGTCATGTGTGGGGTCAAGCAGGTGTTGGTCAGACCCAGGGTCAGGTTTTCTGTGTGATTTTGGGCTGAGGAGGCTTATCTTGCTTTGGTTCAGTCTACATTGAAAGGTTAAACCACTGTTTGTAGCATTTAGCGTTGCTGGAGCTTTCTGGAGCAATTCTTCCTTTTCATCTCTTCTTGTTTGCTGGGTTTGGATCAGGAGGAGCCTTTTGCTATCAGCTTTGTGCACTTCTTACCTGTTTCCATCTCAGCAACTGCTGCGCGCCGAAAAGAGTGAGGAGGGGGCAGTCTAAAGTAGATTTTTATTCAGAAAATACTAGACTGTTCATGATGTTCTAATTTACCTTGGCTCTCCTCGGTTTAGATTTGTGTACAAGGAGCTGGCATTTTCTGCAGTCACACAAACAGCAGTGTTTTAAATATCTGTTCTGGTTCCATTTGCTGTAAAGCATGCTGAGATGGTTAGTGATGAGATAATACCCAGTGCTGCTGGCAGGCTGTCTCTGAACAGTGTGCAAAGCAGGCTCTGCCACACATGAAGCAGCAGTCTGTGTGCTTGTGAGAAAAGGAGCTTCATCCTGTGCTGCACTTGGAATAGGGCAGTTTGGTTATTGACCTAAGTCAGCTCTCATTTACATCTGTCAAAGGAGGCTGGAAAGGCATGAGCTGTGCTTGGCCCTGTCTGAGTGTTTCTAGGATTCTTCATGTTTCCAAGTATATGAAAAGAGAAAACAAAATCTGAAAGGAAAACAACAAAATGTCCTGCACCTAGGGTTTAATGACCATCTCTGGAATTCAGCAGGGTGCTTTCCTCTCTGTGTGTAGCTTTGTGCAGCTGGGCTGATGTTTATGGTGTTTGGGTAGAGTTTTTTTTCCCCACCCTCGATTTTCTCTCTAATCTGCTGCTCTGGCCCCAGTTAAAGCTGTATTAGAGCAGCTCAGTTGAGATGTGACCCTGGATGACAAGTCCCCACATAATGCAAACAAAGAACACCGAGGCCACATTCAGTGCTTTTTGCATGGCACTATGCCAAATACTCTGGCAGAGAAAAACATTTTAAGTCCTCCTTTTAAGCTGAGCTCAAACCCGAAGGACTCTGTCAGCAGTAACGTTGCAGCTGAACACAGACTCTGATTTTAATTACAAAACAAGCTCCACAGCAGCCTCTGCTTTTGAGGGGTGGGGGCTGTGAGATTTTTTGCTGGTAAAATTGCACTCATTGTGGCTCATGTGGCTTTCCCAACCCAGCCTCTGTTTTGGAAGGAGGTTAAACCTCATCTGCATGAGGAATGTGTTTCCAGAGTTGTCTCAAGGCTTGGCAGGAGCAGAAAGGGAGAGAAATCAAACCAAACCCAGTAATTCAGTCTAATTGGATGAGGTGGAAACCAGACA